ACAAAATGTGTAAGTAGTTCCTTAGCAAACATAATATATGCATTTGAAATATTGTCTGTAGAGAGAATTCTTATAGCGACGCATAATTCCATAAAATGATTATAGGTTTTTTTACTGAGAAAATCTTTAAAAACTACCATACCCGTATAGAGGAGACATTGTCTCAACTCTGTAGCCTTCCACCGGGATACATCGTGTAGAGGATGCTTTCTACTATTTTCATTTAAATTTCTTTGGAATTCTTGAGGAATATATTGCGATAAATTTGTCAATTTTTTATCAATTGCAGAAATTAAATTTTTTGGAAGATTTTGATTGTGTTGTTTTATGCCACCAGTCCAGAACATTAATAATTTTTTGGTGACACCAATGAGAATACAATGCATGTAATCAAACGGTACAGAAGAAATGACATCAAATTTAGGTATATCTACCAAAATTGTTTTTCCACAATGAAAATCTGAATCAGAATATAATCTAAATTCATCATGATTTCTAAGTGGTGCATTTAATTGAGGAAAATAAATACGATTATTCCCAAAAGAACCAATAGTATGACAACGAATACACGATTTTTTTCCTGTGTGCCCCTTAAAATTTAATGCAAACGATTTTGCTGGGGCATCACATATAAGAGCTTTTAGATGAAGTTTTACATGGATATTATTATACGTCACACCATCATTAATCAGCACACGGATTTCATTTACAAAATCACTCAAAAATTCATTACTGTCTTCTGGTTTTGGTTTACCATAATATGAACCAATAATGAAAACACTAGGGTCAGAAATATTTGAAAAATACCCTAAAATAGGCCATAATTGACTTGGAGGATTTTTTGTGATGGGTAATCCGTCTATTCCAACCATTAGCTTGAGATGAGTATTGAAGGGAGTGGAGTACCAGACTTTATCAAATGTTCAATTTGATCAAAGATTCCAAAATGATGGTAACTACCCCCTTTAATTTCTTTAATAATAGTTTTGGTGGGTGTTTTTAATAATGTTCGAGAATCTATGGGTAATTCCTTAAATTGTGGATACTTTGATAAATTTTTGAGAAGATCGTCTAAAGCCATGTGAGTAATATCATTTCGAATGGCCCATTTAGCAATAGTTAAATTAACCCCACCATCAATTTCTGGATTAAATTCTTTTTCATCATAAGAACTATAGCTAGAACTTGGTTCACTACAATCTTCATCATCATTAGTTAAAGTTACTTCTTCCTCTGTGTATACTATTGGTGATGAACACCGTTCATACATTTCTGAATTTGATGGACATGGAATATGAGGAAGGGGGTTTTGATGAGGATCACTATTAAACTCATTACCAGAACTAGATGATGAATACATTGAAGTAAGAACTGTAGCAGCTCGCTTTCTTTTGCGATACCGACTAGATTTGCTTAAGTTAACCTTAGACCTATATAAAGAACACAACCAAAACTTTATATTGTTAACACGCATACTGTTATTTTTTGTATTCATAGATATACTATATAGTATCTATATAGACTATGTAATAGACATTTCATCACAAATTAGGTACAATAACATATATAATAACTATATATAGATATTTAAACATATTATTTTAATGTATTCTATTCGGTATTGAATTATAAAAGTAATAAAATGTTCTGTTTTAATGATGACATTTTAAAGCAAGCCAAAATTATGGTGCCTATACATATTATTTTAATCCAAATTTAGTATATAATATATATGTAATTTCTAAAAAAATTACCTAATTAAAATATGATGACATGTTATTAAATTAAATTTAATATAATAGTATACCATCCTGACTAATTACATTATATATTATGATTAGTTTTAACTAAACACAATTACTATTCAAATGGCAGTCTACAGATTTATACATAGGTACCTATATAAAAATAATTTTATCTTATGTTACATATGTATTGTACGAGGTATTGTAAGTAGGTACTATAAAAGATTTTATAAGTAAAAAAATAAATTTGAATTAGGAACCTATACTTAATTAATAAATAAAACCTTCAGTCAATCATTCTAGTCTTTTTAAAATTTATAAGACCCAATATTATTTTAATAAATTAAGTTATATAAATTGGTTCTTTTAAATTAAATTTAGAATGTGAATATTATACCTATAGGTACTTTTCATAACTAAGTATCTATACCTATATATCTTATAAGTTATAAGATACTAGATTGGTATAATTTTACTAACTTGGAAATCAAAATATGTAATATATACCTATATTACATAATATTTTGATTTCCAAGTTTGTATAATTATACCAAATCTATAATACCATGGCTAAATATATAAATAGTGTGTTTACCATGCACATATAACTACATATTAAGTAATATACAATATCTGAGAAGTAGGTATATATGATTAATGTAGAGATATAATACCTAATATTATAATATAATAATATTACTATTAAAACAATTGCTAAACTTAAATAAAATATTACTAGGTATATTATTATATCCAACTACCAATATATGCTATGTATCGAGATATGTTAACGATTGTTATGTTAAATAGGTATATCTAATAATTATGTATGTAATATAAGATAATTATATAGGTAGGTATATATAATATATAATGTGCAGTGGACTATAGTGTTAGTGTAGACTAGTGTTTATATATAACAGATATATAAATATATATATTTGTAACACCTTATATATAATATATAACACACTGTATTATTTACATATATTGTACTTACATTTTGAAATGTTGAATATATAATATATATTATATAATTTATAGTATAATATATAAACTGTTTAACGGTATGAAATAATAATTAATAACGTTATAATTTTTAATAATTAAGTTAGGTTAGGTTAGAAACACAGCTGAAAGCTTAACAAAGAAAACAACGCGGCACGCGCCAAATAGGTAGTGAAAAGCGGAACGCCTACAACAGAATGAAAATAATTATATGATTTCAATAATAATATTATAACTACTCGCTATATTATCAATCTAAATCTAAATCACGTGGTTTAAATAATTTGCCCATTATCATATAATATTATATTATAAGTTCACCGTGTGTGCTTTGCACGGACACACGTTATTCAACCAGAAATATAAACAACTACCTATATAATATATTATATAATAGAGTCTATATATATAAATATATATGTTATTTTACATTTTGGCAGAGTGGGGACACACGCAGTACTTGAAACAATTTCCACACAGTAAGTTCACCGTGCGTACTTAGCACGGACACACGGTATTCGACCAAAAACACAAATACCTATATATATATAAATATGTTTCACGGTTTCGCCTCTATTATATAGCACACTGAGAACACCGTACTTCAAAAAATTTTCTCACAGTTATTTCACCGTGTTTTTTTCACATTTACACACGCAATTCAACCCAAGAATATATTAACACTTTTATTGATTGGTTATTCTTACACCGTCAACCCTTCCTAGCATAAATGTTATAGTTTATTGAAGCTGCACAGTGCTCACACCGTGTATGAACGGTCTTTTAAGCACCGTGTAAATACGCAGACGTTGCACCTTCAAATTGCTACTCGGGTAATCATTGGCATAGGACATTTTCGCCTCTTAATCCCCCTGCAACACCATCACCACCTCGAGTATCACCGGTTCAGCCTGTCTTGTTGGAAGAAGCTTCGGCAGACATGTTTCTGCCGAAAACACCGGTTCAGCCTGTCTTCTTGGAAGAAGCTTCGCCAGACATGTTTCCGCCGACAACACCGGTTCAGCCTGTCTTGTTGGAAGAAGCTTCGCCAGACATGTTTCCACCGACAACACCGATAGCACACGTACTGAGGGTGAGAAACGACCTTTTTCCAGACTTAGATTCCCAGTCCTCAGTTTCACATAGCACGGTAGAAATTCCTCGGGCCATGTTAGCCCCCGAATATAACATGCTATTTGAAGGGGAAATTATGAATACGTCGCGTCATTCTGGAGAGCAGACAGCAGAAATGGATTGGAGTGAAGACGGAAATGACGAGGAGTTTATCAGTCATATGGTGGCATATGAAGATGATGAAGAACTTAACCGGCACATGGATGAATATGAAGGTTTTTGAGGGGGTTGTAATGATTATATTATTATTATTATTAAAATATATATATTTTTAAATTTTAAAACCATGCATTCAATAATTTATATTTTCAAACTATATTAATATTTTTAAATATTTTGTTAGATGGTTATGTTAGCGGCAATTTTAAAAGTAACATTTAGGTCATATTTTTGTAAGGCTTCATCGAGTAAGGGTTGTGTATAGAAATATACACCATTGTGTTAGGCACGTATTGGTAGTAAACGTTCTATTGTCGGCGGAACGACCTGTTTCGTCCGGTCTGTTCGCTTTTCTTGGTATGACAATAACTATTTTTGTAAAGGTGACCTAAAGGGGTATCTATTGTAAGCTGATGGGACGAAAATCTATTGTTAGATGGTTATGTTAGCGTCAATTTTAAAAGTAACATTTAGGTCATATTTTTGTAAGGCTTCATCGAGTAAGGGTTGTGTATAGAAATATACACCATTGTGTTAGGCACGTATTGGTAGTAAACGTTCTATTGTCGGCGGAACGACCTGTTTTTACTGATAAACGATGGTTCCTAAAATAATTGGTAATAAGTAGTGATGTACACATTTATCATAGTAAATACCCGATTAATATTTTGGTAACCCACGGCTTGAAATGCTACCCTCACCAAAAATGTCGAGATTTCTGGACACTCGCTCCGTTGTCCACCAAGACATAGTCAGTCTGTTCCAGACACCCATACCTTTACGCGCACTTTGCCTTTGCTCTCTCCGTGTTTTCACAGTCCTTACTCAACAGTTTTTACAATTTTTTCAAGTGTTTAATTTTGTCAGTGTTTAAACACTATATTCTTTTCGTTTGTTTTCATTTCAAACATTTTAAACATGTTTAATTGCGATTAGTGTCCGTCAGTTTTCACCATGAAACACAATTTGATCGCACATCAAAAAAAACATATGGGTGTACGTTTTCTGTTCACTGCTTGCCCATTGACATTTTCATACAAAAACAACCTCAACAAACATCTGAAGAACATTCATGGTATGTATTAATAATATAAAGTTTTATTTCTATCTTATACAATATTAATTTATATTATTTTTCCTAAGGTATCGTAAACGTTCCGGCTCATTTGAGACCAATACCCGCTGCGCCGATCACCGCTCAACCGGCACGACCAAGCGTCATACAGTTCGCGCCTCTTGCCGCTCCGCAGGGAGATATTCAAATCGCGCCGCAAATATTTGTACCTGATGTCCCGGCCGGTGGATCGAATGCGCTATCCGACGACGATATTATATGTATGAACGCAATGGACGAATTTGAGGATACAGGTTAGTTTTATTTTATTTATCAGAATTGATTTTTAAAAGACCCGCTGATTTTGTATATCAATAGCACTGTTCTGGGGACATGTCATTAAATTATTTTTATTCAGTGTAGGATAAATAGATTTTAAAAGATATTATTTTATAAGTTGCTTAGATTTTATTTTTTCAGTCACGGGTTGATTAGATTTTTAATAGAATTAAATTTATTTTATTAGATATTAATATTAGGTTTTTTTTTTAAAAGATTCTTACACCGTAGCCGTAAATGGTAAACGTGTTTCCGCTGCAAACACCGTCTCAGCTGCTAACGCTAAAAAAGTTAGGTTGAATCTAGTCAAATCACCAGGGTTCGTAGAAATTTTGTCGTCTGCGAGCCGTAAAATCGTGTGGTACTATACTAAAAATCTGGTTAATACAATGATTTATTCAGACTTTCTCCATCCACTTATGCCTGAACTAGTAAATTTATTAAAAAAACACGTAGAAAAACACGCAATAAAATTTAATTTGAAGCTCGAGGCGACATACAACCGGCCCAACGTCCCCAATTCATCGGATAACCGGGCGTTCAAGACCTCGGCAGTTGAAATTTACCCTGACAGCGATATAAGAACCATTGTAGAGAGGGCTTATATGAAATTGACGAAGGAGAAAGATGACTACATCGGGAGGGGTAGTGGATTTACACTGGAGTCGATCGATGGGCTGTTGTTGACCGTGTATAAATATACACCGATGGGCGGCTCGTCGTATATTCAACTACCTGAATATAAAGATAGAAAACGGGGAACCATCAACCCACAAAACACGGATCAGGAGTGCTTCAAGTGGGCGATTTTGGCGAGGCGTGTGGCCGAAAATTTATCTGATAGATATAAATATTGTGTCGGAGAAAATTATAAAAAGCATGAGAAAAATTATAATTTTAACGGTATATCGTTCCCCACACCACTATCAGACATCACCAAATTCGAAAAAAATAATAATAACGTCTCCATAAATGTCTACGGGCTCGATAAAAAATTCCAGGCGCCGCGTAAGTACCCAACGTACGAAGTGTATCCGTTACGTGTGGTCGACGAAGAAAAAAAGGATCATTTCGACCTGTTGTTGGTAACGGACGGTGACAACTCGCACTATGTTTACATTTCGAATTTTTCACGGCTCATACGTTTGCAGAAAACGAGACACAATGGGAGTGTCATTTTTTGTAAAAGGTGCTTCTCCAGCTTTGACAAGCAAAATTTGAAATTCAAGTTGAGTGGACAGGAGGCCCTGGACCAACATAAATTGATTTGTGGGGCGCACAAGCCAATTTTTCCGGAGATGCCGAAGGAGGGAGAATGTGTTGAGTTCAGGGCGTGGAAAAACACGGTTAGGCACCCGTTTGTAATTTACTCGGATTTCGAGGTGATCTTGGCGAAGGCGGAGGAGGCGAGAGGGGGTAGTACCACGATTATTCAAAAACACGAAGCGATGAGCTACGGGTTTTTGGTGAAGGCGAGCGAGGACGTGCCGGCGGATTTATTGCTTCAACACGAGATACCGGCGGGGCCGGTAATCTACAGAGGCAGCAAAGACAGGACGGACGTGGCGAGACATTTCATGGAGTCGATTGTTGATGTGGCCCGGAAAATTGAAGGTCTGATGAAGACGAAAATTCCTTTAATTATGACCGAGGGTGAAGAAAAAACACATCAAGAGTGTAATGCGTGTAACTTATGCAAATGCTTATTAGTCGGGGGCGATAAGGTTAGGGATCATGACCATCTCACGGGCAAATTTAGACAGACCTTGTGCTCTAGGTGTAACTTAGAGTTGCAACAACCTAAATTTGTCCCCGTATTTTTTCATAATCTCTCAAACTACGACTCGCACTTCATAATCACTGAACTTGGGTATGATACACAGGCGATCAACGTTATACCGAACAGTGAGGAGAAATTTATATCTTTCTCGAAATATATAAGTAGTACCTTCACTGTTCGGTTTATCGACACGTTCAGGTTTATGGCGTCGAGTCTGTCGTCCCTGGCCGAAAATTTAGTTACGCCCGAACATGAGAACTTCCGTGAGACAGCCAAACATTTTGTCGCCGGAGATATGCCGCTCGTGACTCGTAAGGGGGTGTACCCGTACGAGTACACGGATAGTTGGGAGCGGCTGGAGGAGACAAGACTACCGAGTAAGAGGGATTTTTATAGCACGTTGTCGGAGACCGGTATTAAGGAGAAGGAGTTTGACCACGCGAAGGAGGTCTGGGACCACTTCGGCTGTACGATGTTGGGCGAGTACAGCGATCTGTACCTCAAAATCGATGTGCTGTTGTTGGCGGACGTTTTTGAGAACTTCCGCGACGTGTGCATGAGGGCATACAACTTGGACGCCGCCCACTATTTCACCGCCCCTGGACTTAGTTTCGATGCGATGCTTAAGTTCACGGAACAAAAGCTTCAGTTATTACATGATTATGACATGTTGTTGATGTTCGAGAATGGTTAGTATATTATTTTTAAAAATGTACATATAATAATCTTATTTATTTTTATAGGTATACGTGGAGGACTAGTGTAGGTGAGTAAGCGATATGCGAAGGCGAACAATGTAAAGACCCCGGGGTATGACGAAACGAAGGAGAAATCGTGGATAATATATCAGGACTGTAAGTATATTTTTTTCAAAACTTGTTAATTTTTCTCTTACTTAATAATATTTTTTATTTTTATAGGTAACAACTTGTATGGGTGGGCAATGTCCCAGTACATGCCGTACGGTGGGTTTAACTGGGTTGAACCCACATTAAACGGGTTAAATGATTTAGATGATACATCACCAATAGGTCGAGTGTATGAGGTTGATGTGTCATATCCCCCAAGATTACATTCTATCCACAACGACCTCCCCTTCCTACCGCAAAATAGTGTACCGCGTGGTTCAAAGGTAAGGAAGTTGATGGCCACGTTTGAGAAAAAGGAGAATTATATTATACATTATCGAAACCTGCAACAGGCGATTAAGAATGGATTAATAGTAGAAAAAGTAAATATTTGTATTTTATATGATTTTAATCAGATTTTTAACATTTTTTCTTATTTTTACAGGTTCATAGGGTTATTCAGTTTAATCAGTCAGACTGGTTAGCTAAATATATTGAGTTAAATACCGAGATGAGGAAGAGGGCTAGGAATGATTTTGAGAAAGATTTTTTCAAGCTGATAAATAACGCTGTATTTGGTAAGTCACTAAATACTATGTATTAAACATTTTTACTGATATTTTATTTTTACAGGTAAAACAATGCAGTCTAAAAGGAAAGAGATGAAGATGGAGCTGGTGTCGTGTGAGAGGAGATTACAGAAACTCATTAACAAGACCACATTTAAACACTGTACAAATTATACTGAAAACCTGAACGCTTGAAAATAAAATTATTAAATTCGACAAACCTATATATATTGGTAAATATACTTTTTATATTATATAACATACAATTAATAATACAATTATTATTATTATTTACAGGATTTGCAGTACTGGACATATCTAAAACACTAATGTATGAGTACCATTATGATGTCATGCAGAGGCACTATGGAGACAAAATTAAATTAATGTACACTGACACAGGTAAATATATTAAAACTATACTCGTGTATATAATATATTAATTTAATATCATTCTTTTTCTAGATTCACTGATTTACCATGTCTATACCGATGACTTTTATGTAGACTTGGCGGCTAACAGTAGCTTACTGGACCGGATGGACACCGCCAATCTGCTTAGTGACCATCCGTGCTATGTGGCAACCAGAAAGAAGTCCCCGGGATACTTTTCCGATGAAGTAGACTCGAATATAATTACTGAATTCTGTGGATTGAGAGCCAAGTCATATGCTTTCAATGTGTATGCCGGACCGGAGGAAAGAGTTGGTGGTGAAAAAATCAAAGCGAAGGGGTTAAGAGGTCATGTGGTTAAAAACCACATGACTCTTGAGGATCATATGAAGTGTCTGTTTGATGAAGAAGGAGTAGAATTGTATAGGGAAAACGTGTCAATACGGTCGTTTAACCACCAACTAATGACAATTAAAACCAACAAGTTAACTTATAACAGCTATAATGATAAGAGGGTGGTGTTAGACGATAAAATACATACACTAGCACATGGACACTATAGTATAGAGTAAGTTATTACAAATATATATATTTAAATTATTTTACTAACATTTTATCTTAATTTTATAGGGAAGATGAACCTGACGATGAATGGCCTGAACTCGACTATGAGGTAGATGACAGAGGACGACGATGGAGTAAGCAGGATAAAGAGTTTATGAAAGAGCTTCTTTGTTACACAACTAAATAGTTTTATTTCAGAAACTTTACTTATTTTTTTGATATATAGTTTTATTGTTTTGTTATATATTGATTATTGTAAATAACTTGTAAATATTATCCTATTAATTGTTATATAATTTAAATACTTGATAATAGATTATTGTGTAATTTGTAAATATTTTTGTAAAATATTAGATTAGTGTATAAATTTGTAGTATTAACACCTTTATAATGTATACTTTGTATGTAAATGTATAATTTTTATTTTTATATTGTATAATTTGTAAATACTATGTAAATATACCGTATCAGTATGCTTTTGTTAGATATATAAGTTAGTTTAAAATGTTTTTTCTTGTAATATTTTTTTTATTTTACCACCTTTATAATGTATACTTTGTAAATATCCATGTAAATGTATAATTTTTATTTTGTATAATTTGTAAATACTCTATACAGTATCAGTATGCTTTTGCTAGATATGTAAGATAGTTTACAATGTTTTCTTGTAATATTTTTTTCCTGTATAATTGTTTAAGCTATAACCATGTTTTTCTGTTTCAGGTAGATGGATGATAATATTAGTATAATTAAAACCCTTGTAAATGCTAACATAAATATGTTAACATATAAATTAAAAAACAATATTAAAATATAATTATGTTTATTAAATAAAATGTGTACAATCGTATTTTTAAGAATTATTTATAAACCATTTCCTTATAGCAAATACTTTATAGAATGTACATTGTTTTGGATTAAATTCCATATGAAAAATACAGCAAGTTAGAGTTTCATCATCACATATTTCGTCCAAACGTGGACATCCAAGATCTTCGATGTTGATTAGTGCGACTTGAGGTATAAATTCTGTAAGCAGCTGTTTTTTCTGCTCACCTTTGACGTAAATGTATGAGAACTTTAAAGAGTTTAATATTCTACTTAGTTCTTCATACTCAACATCACCATATTCTATAGTAAATTTATGATAGTTATGTTCCAACCACTTATTAGTTTTTCGACTCTTGTTGTCCTGCTTAGATTTAGAATTTTTAAAAATCCAGTGTTGGTTCGCCCATGTTTCAGTGTCCACTATAGATAATTCTTTAATAAAATATTTATTGTTTGCTCCAAGAACGCATTGCATGTCTGCGATGGCGGACGACATAATTTCAGGTATATTAAATGTATGTATATAATATTTTATAACACTTAAATATTTATAACACTGACATAGGACTACCAAACACGATGGTGTATACAGCTCGACTGAAATTATTTTTCAATACCGCATGACTCTAACCAACTATTTTTTATTTTTGGCTTCCAGGATTATCAAACGTGAATTTAATTCTGAAATATATGTTCCGTGATTCGGCAATGAATTTTCATCAAATATTCCGGTTATACGATTTATTTCAACTTTTAATTGGCTCACGTCCGCTTTTAATTGGCTCACGTCTTGACCCTGGATGGCGATTGTGGTACTACTATCAGCATACTTATTAATTAGCTCTGACATACGATTTTCGTAATCAAATATAGACTTATTACTTGTCTGTATATTATCACGTAGATTAACAATATTACTTTTCAGAGTATCAATTTCTTTTTGTTGAAGTTTCACATCGTTTACAATTGTTTTGTTACTTGTTTGAATATCTGATATAATTCTTTTAGCATCGCTCGCCTGAGAACTACCGAACACGTTCATAGTTATAAAACGACTGACACTATTTTTTAACATCACGTGTATTTATCCAACTATTGTGTGTATTATCGAATCCTAACCACTTGACGTACATTTGATTCTGTTTTTTACGTATAATTTTTTCAATTAAATATTCGTTTGGGAAATTGGTCTTGTATATTTCTTCAGAGTAAAAACAGCCAGCTATAGGTTTACCCATATAATCTTGTAGTTGATAAGTAACGGGTAATGTTTTATTTATTTTGATAATCTCGAATATTTCCGTAGACCAGTTTGGTAAATAACCTTTTGTGAACACACCCTTTTGTGTACTGATACGAACGTTATCGCCAACTTTAAACTTAATTTTTACAGTCTTAATTTCACGATGTTTTATTACCACCGAAGCGGGGTTGGAATCTGCTTGTATTGGTGTCATTCCTATAGTTCTATGGTAAGAATTATTGTATTCGTCAAGTAACTTTGGTAAAATTGAAACCCATTCGTGTGATCCTCTAGCAGTAAATTCTTTATACATTTTTCCCTTCAAAGTTCGGTTGAACCTTTCTGCGATACTAGCCTTTAGAATACTGAAAGTTGAATATTTGTGTATACCATACTTGGTCATCAAAGCGTCAAAAGTGGTGTTGTAAAATTCTTTTCCGTTATCGAGTTGTAAAAGTTTCGGTGAACGATCAAGTAATATTGTAGATATTGCACTAGTAACTTGTTTACCTGTCTTAGACTTTAACGGTTTCGCCCAAGAAAATTTTGTAAAACAATCAATCACAACCAGGATGTATTTGTAACCACCATTTACTTTTGAATGTGGTATCATTTCAACCAAGTCGGCTTGCCATAAATCATTTTTTCCATAGACGTTAACTCGACGCCTAGTGAAATTTTTCCTTGCTGGTTTGTGAAGTTCGTTAGCGATTTCCCGTTTAGACATCGGGAATTCGCTTTATTAGTCCGGCCTCGTGTAATTCGTCGAAAATCGAAATTATTTCGTTTGAAACGCTTGTATTGCCAGCTGCTTTTGACGCGAGAAGCAGACGTAATCGGTCGACCAACTCGTTTGGATTATCCCAATACACTAAGTTATTTTTCTGTAATTTCATAGACAGCTCGCCACCCGAGGGGAATAATTTACTAATAATTGCTGAGTATTTAGTACCGCCCTTTTTTATTTTATTTCCAACTGTAGATAAATGTACTGATGTTTGAGTTAATATAGATTTATATACCTCTAAATCGCTATCAGTAAAAATAAGTGGATTTTTTAAAAATAATAACTGATTAAGACCCGACGTAGATGGGTAAACAGTACCGTCAATAAGTATATTGTTTTCTATAAATTTTACTTCTTTTTTACCCAAAATAATATGTCCGTTTGGAAGTTTTTTCGGTCCATAGATTTTGTCCAAGCTGTAGACTGAAACCAATTTTCAATTTCTTGTTGATTGTAGTC